GGGTTGCGATCCGTTGCCGGACATGGAAAAAAAAAAAAAAAAAAAAAAAAAAAAAAAAAAAGAAGCCATTGCTTCATAGGACCAGGGAAAGAAAGTACATTTATTTCCATTCAGCAAACACAGTGAGTACCTACTCCATGTAAACACTGTCCTAGGCCAATCGTGTCTTGAACATTACCTTATAAACATGTAACTATGTCAGTATTTTGTGCTAACATAACAATTAGCACGTTTATCTGCTTCCTTATGGTGGGAGAAAGTGAAAAAAAAACAAAAACAAAAATGGTTAATGGATCCTTTTGATGCTGCTGACTTGGTCATGACTCACATTTTACTAATAGTGGATAACAAAGTAAAATTACTTTTCTTTCGTACCTTAGGGCTCTTTTGCGAGGAAGAGGTCTTATGATTGGTCTCAGTTCAACTCTCTGTATCTCCGAGTCCGTGGGGATGGTCGGCCTTGGATGGTGAATATCAGGGAGGACACAGATCTAATCCAGAAGAAGAATCAGATGTACAGTTACTTCATGTTCACGCGTGGGGGGCCCTACTGGCAGGAGGTCAAGGTAACAGTACAAGTCTTTAGTGTTTATAAAAATGAGGTCTTTTTGGATTATGGTTACATTGTAGCTTCCTTTTTCTTACTAATTCTTCTTGGAAGATTGGGGTGGAGTGGGGAAAAAGAAGAGGACCTAGGGGAGAGACTTACATAATTACTTTTTCATTCATTAGTGTAAATGTTAGCTTACTAACCAGTAAATATTTTTGATAAGAATATGACCAGGTCCATGTTCAGTCACAGGTACATCTCTGCTCTGTGCCCAAGTAAATCTTTGTAAGTTTCTGCCATGTTGGCTCTTCTAAGCAACTCTGCTAAGATAATGTCCCTAGCTTAGTAGAAAAGTTCCCTTAAGAGGAGTAAAATACTTCGCACTTTATAATCTTAAAATTTTTTATTTATTTCTTGGTGATATAAGGTAGTTTTTTATGTTGTAAGTGAGAAGATGAAGCTTTAAGAAGATAAGCATTGTTAACCTGTAGGAAAATAAGAGGAAATTCAGGGAGTGAGGGCAAAATCAAGTGCCCATTCCTTTCTTCCCCCTACTGAAGGTTTTTGATCCATAAACTCAAAAGAATGCCCCCTTTTGCTCATGTCATAAACCTAAGGGTCGTCCTGGATTCCTCTCTCCTTCACCTTATCTCCAGTCTATTGGTAAGTCCTGTCACTTCTATTTCCAAAATATACCCAGAATCTGTTTCTAGCCATCTCTTCTACTCTCAACCTAGTGCAGGCGTTTGGATTACTGCAGCAGCTTCATTATTGATTTGCCCGTTTGTCTTCTTGCCCCTCTAATATCCACTCTCCACACAGAAGCCAAACTGATCTTTCTTTTTTTTTCCTTTTTGTCTTTTTTCGTGACCGGCAATGGATCGCAACCCTCAGTGTCACGCCCGTACCGGACCGGGACCGGCAACGGGATCACAACCCTCGGTGTTGCGTCCGCACCTCGCTCAGCCAGTGAGCGGGAACTGGTCTGTATGTGGGATCCGAACCCTTGGCAGGAGCACCGCCATGCTCCCAAGTGGCGCACTGTAGCAGTGCGCCACCGGGCCGGCCCCAAACTGATCTTTCTAAAACATAGTTCAGATTATATCATTCACATGCTTAGGACCGTTCAGTGTTTTTCCATTACAATTAGAATAAAGTTCAAACTTCTTAACATGGCCTACCAGGCCTCCAATATCAGACCTTTGTATTCAGCTTCAGTCTTGCCTCCTACCTCCCTCCTCCACACCAGCCCCTTTTCTGTCTGCTGATTCCTGTAGCTAAAGTTGTACCCTCTAACCCATTTACTTTCAACATAAAACTTATTAACTAAAATTATTTTACTCATTTGTTTGTTAGTTTATTGTCACTCCTTACTCCCCTCCCCTGGAACATAAATTCTGTAAATTCTGTGAGAGCAGGGACCTTTTACTTTTGTTGGCAGCTGGCAGGGATAAGAATCAAACCCTGGACCTCGGTGTATGGACCTTGTCTGTATTGTTCAGAGCTGTTTCACCTGCACATAAAACAGTGCCTAGCACAAAACAGGCACTCAATACATATATGTGCACTGATATATATAACACAAAAATTATTACAAAAGTAACACTTGTTTACAAGTAATATATAATGAATTATTAAACAAAATTAGTATTTTCTTGTAGAAAATTAAGAAAAGGCAGAAAAGAAAAAAAAAATCTTGTGATTCCACTACCCTGAGATAAAATACTTTTTAAAATTTTGGTGTATACCTTCCAGACTTTCTTAGTCACACTTTTTCCCCCACCAAAACAGGGGGGAAAATTGTACCAATGCTGTTTTATAACACATATTTTCACTGAACTGAATACTGAATACAACTTCCTGTTCAAATATATTTCTTTCCTTTTTTTTTTTAAAGATGACCGGTAACCCCTTACCCTTTTTTTTTAAAAGATGACCGGTAAGGGGATCTTAACCCTTGACTTGGTGTTGTCAGCACCACGCTCACCCAGTGAGCAACCGGCCATCCCTATATGGGATCCGAACCCGTGGCCTTGGTGTTATCAGCACCACACTCATACAGATACATCTGTAGGCTAACTTCCTACAAGTGGGATTACTGGGTTAAAGGGTAAATGCCTTTGTAATTTTGATAAATATTGTAAAGTTTTTCTCCAAAGGACTCGTTTCATTTTTCGCTCCCACCGGTAATGAAATAACGGTGGCTATTTCCTCAAAGCCTCACTAGAGTAAGTTGTCAGACTTTTTTATTTTTGCCAATCTGATAAGTGAAAAATGGTATTTGGTTAATTGTCTGGCACAAAGCTCCTAAAATTCTTGCAGTCTCCAGAGTAATAAGAGTGTCTTTGTATGTTAATGTTGACTGGTGGCTGGGGGCCCCAAGGTAGCTTCAGGATGGGAGATGGTCACCAGAAAGACCAAGGCATGATTAGAGTTGGAACTTTTAGCCCCACCCTCCAATCTCCAGAGAGGGAACAGGTGCTGAAGGTTAAGTCAGTCACCAATGGCCAATGATATAATCAGTCATGCCTATGTAAAGAAGCTTCCATAAAACCCCAAAAGGACAATTTATAGAGCTTCTGTATAATTGAACATGTGGTGGTCCTTGGAGGGTGGCATTGTCTGGAAAGGGCATGGAAGCTCTGTACACCTTGTCCCATACCTTGCCCTATGCATCTCTTCTATTTGGCTATTCATCTGTACCCTTTTAAATATCTTTTATAATAGACCAGTAATTGTAAAGTTCTGTGAGCCACTTTAGCAAATTAATTGAACCCGAGGAGGGGGTTGTGGAGACCTCTGATTTATAGCCTGATGGTCAGAAGTATAGGTGACAACCTACTTGCGACTGGCATCTCCAGTGGGACTTAACCCTCAACCTGTGGGATTTGACACTATCTCCAGGTAGATAGTGTCAGAATTGAATAGAATTAGAGGACACTTAGTTCATGTCCACTGGAGAATCTGCCAGAGGATTGCTTGGTGTGTGGGGAAAACCCTGATGTCAGAAGGGTTGTGCTGAGGGTGGGTGAGTAGTGAGGAAGGAAAAACTCTTTGGGTTTTCCCCCTATATCCTCAGAAGTTTTGATGTACACTTTCTCTTATTGTGAGCTCAAATGTCTCTTCATCTGTTTAAAGGCCAATTTGTATTTCTTTTTCTGAGAACTGTCTGTTCATGGCTTTTCTATTGCGCAGTTGATCTTTTTCCCACTCAATTTCTAGGAGCTCTTTAACTATTCAGGATATTTGCCTTTTGCCTGTGATATAAGTGACTTGTATTTTACACAAGTGAAAAGAGTCCCTCTTCAAACTCCCATGCCTACTTCTCTTTTTTTTTTTTTTTTTTATTTCCCATGCCTACTTCTCGGAGGGAAGAACTGTTGAGTTTCTGGTGTATCCTTCAAGACATTCTTGTTGACATATAAGAATAACTTTTTCTTATTTTTCTTAACATTTTATTTTTTATTTTATTTATTTATTTATTTATTTTTTTAAAAGATGACCGGTAAGGGGATCTTAACCCTTGACTTGGTGTTGTCAGCACCACGCTCAGGCAGCGAGTCAACCGGCCATCCCTATATGGGATCCGAACCCGGGGCCTTGGTGTTATCAGTGCCGCACTCTCCCGAATGAGCCACGGGCTGGCCCTTAACATTTTATTTTGAAAAATTTCAAACATGAATAAAAGTTAAAATTGCATGGTGAGGGCCGGCCCGGTGGCGCACTGGATAAGTGCGCCGCTTGGGAAGTGCGGCGGCGCTCCCGCCCGAGGGTTCGGATCCCACATACAGACCGGTTCCCGCTCACTGGCTGAGTGAGGCGCGGGGGCAGCACCGAGGGTTGCGATCCCGTTGCCGGTCCCCGGTCCAGTACGGGGGCGACACTGAGGGTTGCGATCCGTTGCCTGACACGGAAAAAGACAAAAAAAAAAAAAAAAAAAAAAATTGCGTGGCGAATATCCGTATAGCTACCACCCAGATTTCTTAAGAAACATTCTGCTATATTTGCTTTATCACATATCTTATTCACCTGTCGTTCCGGCTATTCATCTATCATTCTTTTTTTTTTTTCTAAAAAGATGACCAGTAAGGGGATCTTAACCCTTGACTTGTTGTTGTCAGCACCACGCTCACCCAAGTGAGCTAACCGGCCATCCCTATATGGGATCCGAGCCCCTAGCCTTGGTGTTATCAGCACTGCACTCTACCGAGTGAGCCACAGGCCGGCCCATATCGTTCTATCTTTTTTAATTCAAAAAAAGAAAAGTTGCCAACATCAGTACATTGCACCCCTAAACATTTCAGCATGAATATCATTAGACTTCAGTATTTATTTCCAGTTTTGTTTGAGGCCTTTTTAAAAAACATAAATGAGATTATACTGTAGATTTTGTCTATATCTTGCTTTTCTTCCTTTTTTTTTTTTTTAAGATGACTGGTAAGGGGATCTCAACCCTTGACTTGGTGTTTTCAGCACCACGCTCAGCCAGTGAGCCAACCAGCCATCCCTATATAGGATCCGAACCTATAGGATCGGCCTTGGTGTTATCAGCACCACACTCTCCTGAGTGAGCCACGGGCTGGCCCTATATATCTTGCTTTTCTACTAAAAATATATCACAGGGGTCTTCTCACTGCATCCTGTGTAGATCTACTTCATTTTAAAAATAGCTGTAAGGGCCGGCCTGTGGCTCACTTGGGAGAGTGTGGTGCTGATAACACCAATGCCACAGGTTCGGATCCTGTATAGGGATGGCTGGTTAGCTCACTTTGGAGAGTGTGGTGCTGACAACACCAAGATCCCCTAACCGGTCATCTTTAAAAAAAAAAAAAGCTGCATATTCAGTTGTATGGATGCACCATAATTTAGCTATTATTCCTTTTTTCTTTTTCTTTACTTTTTCCTTTTTTAAAATTTTTATTAGAAGAAGCTATATCTTTATGTACTTGTCAAAGTTTATTTGTAATATAAATTCCTAAAAGTGAAATTGGTAGGTGAAAGTTATGGCACTTCAAATTTTGCTAGACATTGCTGTATTATTTTTCTGTTGTTACATAATAAATTATCACAAACTTAGCAGCTTAAAACACACATTTATTAGCTCACAGTTCTGTAGGTAATAATTTGGGACATGGTGTGGATGGGTTCCATGCTTAGGTTATTATAAGGCTGAAATCAAGATGTCAGCTGGGCTGTTTTCCTTTCTGAGTCTCTGGGAAAGAATTGACTTCCAAGCCCATTCTCCTTATTAGCTAAATTCAGTTCTTTATGATTGTAGAACTGAAATATTTGTCTCCTTTCTGATCGTCAACTAGAGGCCACTCTCAGCTCCTAGACACTGCCTGCATTCCTTGCTATGTAGCTTCCTCCAGCCTCAAAGCCAGCAATGGAGAATCTCCCTCCCATTGAATCCCTCTCATGATTTTAATCTCTTTCATTGGTCCCTTTGATGGGCTTAATAGATTGTCAGCCCCACAGAGGAGAATACCCCTATATTTAGGTCAGTTGATTTAGAACCTTAATTATATCAGTGAAACCATTCATGGCAGAACTGCGATTAGTGTTTGATTGAATATCCTGAGAGGATGTGTGTATACAAATCAGGGGGTGGAAATATTGGAGGCTGTCTTAGAATTCTGCCTACCACAACTGGTAGCTGCCCTCTAAAAGAGTTGTACTAGGGCTGGCCCGTGGCTCACTTGGGAGAGTGTGGTGCTGATAACAGCAAGGCCACGGGTTCGGATCCCTATATAGGGATGGCCGGTTAGCTCACCTGGGAGAGCATGGTGCTGACAACACCAAGTCAAGGGTTAAGATCCCCTTACCGGTCATCTTTTAAAAAAATAATAAAAATAAAAATAAAAGTTGTACTAATTTGCATTCCTGCTAACAGTATAAAAGTGTGCTTGTTTCTCCCATTCTCATATTTCTTTTTGGTTATTTAATCCTTTTCTTAGTTGTAAAAGCTGTGTTTAGGATACCAGTCTCTTGTCCATAAATATTACAGATGTTTTTTTCTTAGTTTGCCCTTTGTCTTTTTCCCTCAGTTATAACTTTGATCCAAATAGCTAGCCACTTGTCATAACTGCATGTATTAAGTAATTTTTAAATTTAACTACTATTCTTTCATCATTGCAATTCCATACAAATGCCTCAATTGTTTACATTTCAGCTATGCAGTAAATGATTTCTTATTTCAGATTCCTTTTTCCAAGTTTTTCTTCTCAAATCAAGGAAGAATCCGGGATGTCCAGGGCAAGCTTCTGCTTGACAAGGTAATGTTTTCCTGTATTTTTCACTCAGAAGTGTATCATCTTTAGTGAAACAAAACTCCTGTGAGGACAAATTCGGTCTATTTTGGAAGGCTGGCAAGTGAAAGATGAAAATTCCTACTCAGGGTCACCCCTGTTATACCCAGGCAGATGCTGGCCTATTCTGTGGGCTAAACCCTCATCCTGGAAGAATTTTAGCATGATCGTTTTTTCAGTGTGCCTACATTTTATTTTAGCTTAAAATGAAAGAGTTCATAAGAGCTTTAAGGAATCTGTATTAGGCATCCATGCTGTCTTTACTAGTCTTAAGTAGTACTACCTAAAGGGGAGAGGAGAGGAAGTAGAATGTGGAATGAAAAGCAGTCTTATACATCCTCTTATAATTTGCTGAAGCATATGAGAACTATTGTATACTTGCTAAAGGCAGATAGTATAAAGACCCAATTATAGTAATCACCTCATGGGATTTTAGAACTCCAGGAATAGCATCAGTACATCAGTGTATGAGATTTTAATCAATTTCTCTATTTTAAATTTAGATCTCTTCTATAGGATTCACCCTGGCGGATAAAGTGGATGGTCCATTCTTCCTGGAAATAGATTTTATTGGAGTATTTACAGATCCAGCTCACACAGAAGAATTTGCTTATGAAAATTCTCCAGAGCTTAGCCCAGGACTTTTTAAATAGAGAGGGTCATGTGGAAGTTTTGTATTACTAACGTAAGGGTAGTAGTATCCACAATGATACAAATTAAAGTATTTCTTCAGTGGCGTCCAGCCAATGGCTGGTATGTATTCCCTAAGACGAGGCTAAAAACTGTTGTTAAGAGGGACTATATAAAGGGAACACAGCATGAACCAGGTTCTGAGCTGTGCTTTAGCTCACAGAATGCAAGTACTGATGCAGAGGTACTATGTAAATAACTTACTGTTTTTGGTCAGAACGGTTCCTATGAGGAACATTTCCCACATGAGTAGGCGGTTTCCAAAGCAAGGAGTCCCTGAGATGACTGTTGATGATCTTTTACCGCTATTCCTGATAGGTTTCTTTTATTTTCTAACCCATCTTTGAGGAAAGGAGTATCTTTTTCATTTTTAACAACTTGAGATATAATTTACATAAAATTGGCCTGTGTAAGTATATAGTTCAATGATTTTTAGTATATTTACAGAATAGTGCAGCCATTACTACAATCTAATTTTAGCAAATTTCCATCAGCCCAAAAAGAAACCTCAATGCCATTTTGCAATCACCCTTCATTCCCATCTCCAGGCAACTACTAATCTACTTTCCATCTCTATAGGTTGACTTTTTCTGGATATTGTATATAGATAGAATCATACAATATATGGTCTTTGACTTTTTTCACTTAACATGTCTTTGAGGTTCATCCATGTTGTAGCATTTTATCAGTGCTTCGTTCCTTTCTATTGTGGAATAATACTCCATTGTTTATCCATTCATCCATTGATGGACATCTGGATTTTTTTCCCCCTTCTTAGCTCTTATAAATAATGCTGCTATAAATATTTGCATACAACTTATTGTGTGGACATGTTTTCATTTCTCTTGGGTATATACCTGTACCTAGGAGTTGAATTGCTGGGTCTTTGGGTAATCTGTTTAACATTTGAGGAACTGCCAGACTATTTTCCAAAGCGGCTGCACCATTTTACATTCCCACCAGAGGTGTATGAGGTTCCAATTTCTCCACATTCTCTCCAACACTTACTATGTCTTTTTGATTACAGCAATTCTAGTTGGGCCTCTTTTCATATACTTATTAGCCATTCATACATCTTTGCTGAAATATGAGTATCAAGTCTTTTGCCCATTCTGAAATTAGGTCATTTTATCATTTAGTTGTAAGAGTTCTTTATATATTCTGGGTACAAGTCCCTTTTCAGATAAGATTTATAAAATAGATTCTCCCAATCTGTGGCTTGGGTGTTCACTTTTTGGGGTGTCTAATAAGGTGCAAACATTTTTAGTGTTTTTTTTTGTTTTTTTTTTCCTTTTTTGTCTTTTTTCGTGACCGGCAACGGATCGCAACCCTCAGTGTCGCGCCCGTACCGGACCGGGACCGGCAACGGGATCGCAACCCTCGGTGCTGCGCCCACACCTCGCTCAGCCAGTGAGCGGCTGGTCTGTATGTGGGATCTGACCCCTCGGTGGGAGCGCCGCCGCAATCCCAAGCGGCGCACTGTAGCAGTGTGCCACCGGGCTGGCCCATTTTTAGTTTTGATGAAGTGCAATTTGCCTATTTTTCTTTTATCACCTGTGCTTTTGCTGTTGTATCTAAGAAATCATTGCCTAGTTCATGATCACAGAAACTTATTCCCAAGAATTTTGTAAGTTTAGTTCGTATATTTAGGTCTATGATCAATTTTTTTTAAAAGATGACCGGTAAGGGGATCTTAACCCTTGACTTGTTGTCAGCACCACACTCTCCCAAGTGAGCTAACCAGCCATCCTTATATAGGGATCCGAACCCATGGCCTTGGTGTTATCAGCACCACACTCTCCCGAGTGAGCCATGGGCCGGCCCCGGTAAAACTTTTAGCTTCAGTTTTTTGTTCATTGCTAGTATATAGAAATATAATTGTTGGATATTGATCTTGTATCCTGTGACCTTAATGAATTTAATCCTGGTAGCTTTTTAGTGAATTTCTTAGGATGTTTTTGTAGAAGATGTTTTTATTTTTTAACAGGTTTGCTTAGTATCCTGCCTACACTAAATTTTTTTCTTTTATTCTATTTTTTTATTTTATTTTATTTTTTTAAAAAGATGACCGGTAAGGGGATATTAACCCTTGACTTGGTGTTGTCAGCACCACCCTCTCCCAGTGAGCTATCCGGCCATCCCTATATGGGATCCGAACCCGGGGCCTTGGTGTTATCAGCACCGCACTCTCCCGAGTGAGCCACGGGCCGGCCCCCTGCCTACACTAAATTGTACATACTTAATATGTATAATTTGGTTTTGACATACAAATGTATACCTACAAAACCATCATCACAATTAAGATAATGACTGTAATCCCACCTACCCACCATTCTCCAGGCATTCCCTGATCTGCTATTACCATAGATTAGTTTGTATTTTCTAGGTTCTTTTCATTCAGCATAGTTATTTGAGATTCATCCATATGTTCTATTGTATATCAATAGTTCATTCCTTTTTACTTCTTAGTATACCATTATATAGATATACCACATTTTATTTATACATTGATTTGATGATGGACATTTGGGTTGTTCCAATTTGGGGCTATTACAAATAAAGCTACTATGAACATGCAGGTACAAGTCTTTATAGGAATGTATACCTTCATTTCTCTTGGGTAACTACCTAGGAGTGGCATGGCTGGATCACATGGTAGATATACATAAAACTTTATAAAGAAACTAGCAATCTGTTTTCCAAAGCGATTGTACTATAATACGTTCCCAGCAAAAGTGTATTTGACCCAGAAGTTTCTTGATTTGATCTCTGCCTCTTGAGAGGATATTTTGAATTTTTCAAGTACTCAGGAGTGTGCCATGTTCTGAAGGCTCATATATGCAAAACAATAGTATAAAATCTGAGGAGTGCTGTGGAAATACAAAAAGAATATGGTTATTTCTTCTTGTGGTGGAAATTGGCTGTCAGGAAAGGATGCATGAAGGGTACATATATACTCTTGTTAATCTTAGCTGGTCAACTAAATCTTAGAAGACTATTATGTTTACAAAGAATTAACCTACCACACGGAGAAAAAATTTTATTTATGAAAATCTTGAGTAGTACAAAACTGAGAAGCTCTACTTAGGTGCAGTGAACATGGATATGATGCTAAGCAACTAGTCTTTTCCATAAAATGAATAAGGTGTAAATTTGATAGAGCATAGTAATCCTTAAAGCAGTAATCCTCAAATTTTGATAGGGCCCTGCAGTTTTTATTTTTAAATAAGCAAAGCTACAGTGAGCTGTAGAGCTTTGTTTTTAAAAATATAGTGACAGATGACAATTACATGAAGTAATGTGAACAAAGATGCATATAAGCATAAGCAAAACAAAACATTTTTCACGTAGGTAAAACATGGATGCCATAACCAAATCATTTTTATTAAGATTACTAGATTCTCTAGAGGATGAAGAGGTGGCCTTTCTATCCTGGCTTACCCTATTCCTCTTATTCAAGTTCTACCAAAACTTATGATATAACTAAGCTGCCATCAGGTAAATGCCATTTAGCCTAGAAGAGGGCTGCAGTTGTTAATATTAGAACCAGCACAGGGAACTTGACATTAAAAAATCTAGGTTAAAAACCTCTAAGATGGGTCTAATTAGAAAACTGAATTGTATAGGGACTTACGTAAAAACCATTTCAAAGAATTTGTGAGCTTTAAGGTGATAATGTCTTTTCAGAGATGTGGCACACGAAGGAAGCAAGGATACTACACAGATCATGAACAAAGTCAACAGCAGAAAAAGATCTGACTGAAGTGGGGAAGACAGTATAAAAATATTTACAGAAGGAAAAAGGGTTCAGAATAAAGTAGTATTTACAGGATGTTAAGAAATTATTAATCTTCAGCCATAATGAGGCCCCTTCGAGCTCCCAAGACCTTTGCTTTCTTCTCCTTTCGTTCTTCCTCGTGTTTTTTCCGTTGCTCTTCCCTAAGAGGGACAGATCCCACATTAAGCTCTAGTGAAACTGCACAACAGACACTTTAAAGCAACTATTGTTGGACTAATATCCAAACTTAGAATGACATCTAGCACACTTGTGTAAAACAGACTCTTACAGGGCACTGTGCTCTACGTAGTGGTTCTAACACTTGTTAGGAATTGGCATTTTCCTTTTTATGTTAATTCAACATTCTAAAATCATACATGGAACTGGAACTAGAAAACACCTTGGTTATTGCATCCAACTCCTGTACTTTTAAAATTTGCTTTGTTTTGTTTTATTCTTTTTTTGGTGGCTGGCTGGTATGGGGATCTGAACCCTTGCCCTTGGTGTTCTCAGCACCACACTCTCCCACGTGCGCTAACCGGCCAGCCCTTAAAATTTGTTTTTAAATGAGAAATATTTACTCCTAGAAGTAAAAGTCAAAGGTCAAGCTCAAAATCACATAGCTAATGAGAGTGCTAGAACTAGAACCTGGGTTTACTGACTTAAGCCACTATATCTGTTTTTTTGAGAGGAAGAGGTTAGGCAAAATGAAAAAGCCCAGGATCATGTTAACTATATTAATAACAGATACAGTTAGTAAAGGCCTTGGTGGCAACTGGATATAGGTAACAGTCAAATGATAGGTGGGTTCCAGGCAGGGAACCTGGACTCAACTAGGACCAACTGCAGCCCAGGATGAGCTCTGGCTTTACCTTGGTTTTCAGGCTGAAGGAAGGCTCTAAGTACCAAACTGGGTTTTTTCCTTGTGTAGGGCTTTGACACCTTGTAAACCTGGTTTCCTTGAGACTGAGGAATTTATATCTATCTGCATACATAGGTGCCCTGGGCACTTGAGCATTGGTATCCAAAGGCATATCCACATGCACTGTTTGGGCAGATAGGTAATGCAATAGTAGTGCTCTGAATCCGTGTCGTCTTAGTTACCTGTAGAGCCTTGGAAACAACGCAGATGCTTGTGCCTTACCCCAAACCTTACCGATTTGGAATCCATTGCTCTAGATCCTAGGCACGTATATTTTTAGAAAGTTCTATAGGTGATTCCATGTCTATACTTTTTTTTTTCCCCCACATCTATACTCTTAAACACACTATTTACTCAGACTATCTCAGAGGTAGAGATGCTGCTTTTATATACAGTCTTTGGAAATATAAAGAATTATGAAACTGGATAACTATGTACTCACCTGGTCTGGAGATGAGGTTGTTTGTAAGTTTTCTTATGGAAACTAACTCTATTTACATGTTCATTCAGAGAATTATTTTCTTTAGATTGCCCCCATGGTTTCAGCTTTCCTAGTTTAGGACAGAGACAGACAGTTTTAAGAAGATTCTTTTATTATAATTCCAACTTTATTCCCTTCATCTGTAGCTACCTGCTTGCTATCAACATTTATACTTTGTTTTGATACACATTTACCAGTTCTTGTATATTCTGCTATTTCATTATCACAGATAATTTATAATTACATTCTTCTTCTAAAAATAAAAATGTGCCTTTTTTTTTTTTTTTTAAGATGACTGGTAAGGGGATCTTAACGCTTGACCTGGTGTTGTCAGCACCACGCTCACCCAGTGAGCAAACCGGCCATCCCTACATGGAATCCGAACCTGTGGCCTTGGTGTTATCAGCACCGCCGAGTGAGCCAAAGGCCGGCCCCAAATGTGCCCTATTTTTAATCCTTGGAAATTCACGGAAAAAAATTTTATACTAAAACAAAAAAACCCCAAAGAAAAGCCACCTAATACTAAATCCAATTACACAACACATTAAAAGAAGCCATTATAACCAAGTAGTTTAATACTAAAATGTATTTGACTGCCCAACTGCCCCCACCAAAAACAAAAAATATTTGAAGTGGAATGAGTGGGAATCTTTCATTGGCTTTAGAATGAGGACCACCAGATCTAGCAATCTCACTTCTGGGTATTTACCCAAAAAACTTGAAATCAGTTTGTGGAAGAAGTGTCTGCACTCTCATGTTCATTGCAGCACTATTCACAATAGCCAAGTTGTAGAAACAACCTAAGTGTCCATTAGCAGATACGTGGGTAAAGAAAATTTGGTATATGTACACAATGGAATACTATTCAGCCTTAAAAAAGGAGATTCTGTTATTTGTGGCAACATGGATGGAATTGGAAAACATTATGCTAAGTGAGCCATTCACAGAAAGACAAATAATGTATGTTGTCACTTACATGTAGAATCTAAAACAATCACACTCACAGAGGTAGAGCAGAATGGTGGCTGCAGAGGCTAGGGGTGGGGGAAATGGGGGAAATGACGGTCAAAGGATAAAATAGGAGGAATTAGGTTTTTTCTTGATATCCATTACACAGCATGGTGAATATATAATTAATAATAGTGTACATTTCACAGTGGCTGAGAGTAAATTTCAAATGTTCTTACCACAAAAAGTATTTGAGGTGAAGGATATGTTAATGAGCTTGAGATAATTATTCCACATTGTATTCATAAATCATAACTCATTTTGTACCCATATATAATATACATATATATAATAATTCCAGATGTTTTATTGTTTTTTATTTGTATAGTTTATAACATGTTTTTGAGGACCAATGATTCCTTTATGGTGTTTCTCTCTCTCTCTCTCTCTCTCTCTCTCTCTCTCTCTCTCTCTCTCTCTCTCACACGCACACACACACACACACACACACACACACACACACACACACACACTTTTTTTTGGCAGCTGGCTAGTACAAGGAACTGAACTCTTGATCTTCGTGGTATAATACTGAGCTCTAGCCAACTGAGCTAATTGGCCAACCCCCCAATATCATTTGATCCTTTTAATAAGCTCTGAAATTACTAGTATTTGTTTTCCCTTCCATAAAACAGAAGGAACTGACTTGTCTAGGAAATAAAAATAGAAGCATAGGTAAAGCTCTGATCCAGGTTTTCTAATGTCAGTAGAAGTTAGTGACAGTCAGAGTCATTCCCATCACATGTACTTTTTGAGAACCTGGTATGTACCAGTGACTATTCTAGGTGTAGGGGACATAGCAGTGAACCAAACTGTCAAAAATCCCTGCCCTCTGGGCTTACTTTCCAGTGATAGACACAGATGATAGTCAAATGACATCAAGTGGTACTAAGTGCTATGAAGAAATGTGAAAGAGGGTAAAGCGTACCCTCGTGTGGGAGGCAGGAAAGGGAGGAAAGGCCTCTTTGAGGTGGTGACAGTTGGGTGGAATCCCCATGAAAAGAAGGGAGCAAGCTATGCAAAGGTCTGGGGGAAGAGTATTCAGGGTTGAATAGAGGGACAGTAAGTTCAGAGACCTCGAGGTGGGAACAAGGAGCTGAACCACCAGTGTGGATGAATCACAGTCAGGGAAGTGAGGAGGCAATGAAATGAGGGTGGGGAGAAAGCTAGCAAGGTAATGATGTGCTCTTTTTTTTTTTTTCCTTGACCAGTAGGGGGATCTTAACCGTTGACTTGGTTTTGTCAGCACCACGCTCTCCCAAGTGAGCCATGGCCTCTGATTTGTTTTTAATGTCATAGTGGAGCAAAGAAGCTATTCTAGAAGATTAGGTAAGAGACGGTAACCTGGACGAAACGGGGCAGTGAAAAGTGGTCAGATGAAAGATCTGTTTTAAAGGTGGGGTTGAGGGCTGGCCCGTGGCTCACTCGGGAGAGTGCGGTGCTGATAACACCAAGGCCATGGGTTCGAATCCCATATAGGGATGGCCGGTTCGCTCACTGGCTGAGAGTGGTGCTGACAACACTAAGTCAAGGGTTGAGGTCCCCTTACCGGTCATCTTTTTAAAAAAAATAAAAATAAAATAAAGGCGGAGTTGAAGGACTAGCTGATAGGCTGGATGTGGGGTCTGAGAGAGTGAGGAATCAAGGATGACTCCTGGGTTTTTGCCCTGAACAACTAGGTAGATAGAGGAACCACTGCCATAGATGGTAAAACTTGGGGAGAAAAAAATGGTGTGTATGTGTGAAGTAGAGAATTCTTTTTTTTAACCACAGGTTAGCTGACATCTCTTCGTAAGACTTATGTTTCATTAGCTTTAGTAATTTAAAGACAGACACTGTTACCTTTGTGATTCTTTTAGTAAGTTTTTGTGTTCTAAAGTAATTCCAGAAGCACTGAAACACTACATTAGGTATTGGTATTTTACATGGATGTAAGGACACTTTAATATATGCCTAAGTGGGACATCTGGGCAATAAATGTCCCAGATTGTTGGACCAGTGGTTCCAACTTAGGATCCTTTGAAAGCTGTAAAGGAAGTATTCATTTACCCAAAAGAGGTTGCATAGATTAAGTTGTATAAGTTTATTGATTTTGGTTGAAATTTTATTAATTCTTTATAGTAATAATGGTTTGAAGTTATAGCTTTGATTAATGAAAATGCAGGTGACAGGCTGGCCTGTGGCTCACTCGGGAGAGTGTGGTACTGATAACACCAAGGCCATGGGTTCGGATCCCATACAGGGATGGCGGTTAGCTCACTGGGTGAGCGTGGTGCTGATGACACCAAGTCAAGGGTTAAGATACCCTGACCAGTCATCTTTAAAAAAAAGAAAAAAAAAAGAAAAAATGTAGGTGAATCAATGATTTAGTATTTGCTTAATGAACAGTCTTTTAAATCACGGGTCCATTCAGGGACATGGGAAGGAATTCTAGGTAGTTAAATATGGCTTCCACTGAGTCACTAGAACTTTTCACCATCCTTAAATGCAGAACTGTTTAACCTTAAGTCTTTTACGGCTCAGTACCTCAAAATACCCCCAACATACCTTTGTGAGGCTCATAGTTGAGGGGACGAGACAAACTTGCTTTGAGATCAAATACTGGTTTCTTATTGGAGACTGGAGTCTGTGTTGCTGTAGTTGTCAACATGAATGGGGAAATAACTGAAAACAAAAAACAAAAAACAAAACCACCAAAAGCCACCAAGGGCTTAATTAGGAAAAAAGACCAGGTATAGTTTTTTACCAAAGTATCACTTCTCAGTCGTAAAAATATGAACTGAATGTTTGTATCCCCCACCCCCTAATTCATATTTAAATCCTAACCTCCAACGTGATTGGTATTTGGAGGTAGGACCTTTGGGAGATAATTAGGCCATGAATGGGATTAGGACCTTATAAAGGGACCCCATAGAGCTCTCTAGCTCTCTTTATACCACTTGAGGATACAACAAGAAGTTAGCAGTCTGCTACCAGGAAAAAGGCTGTCACCAGAACTTGGCCATGCTAGTACCCTGATCCAGGCTCCAGATGTTTGAGAAATAGATTTCTCTTGTTTATAAGCTGTTCAGTCTGTGGTACTTTGTTATAGCAGCCTGAACAGAGTAAGATAATCTTTATGAACAGAATGAAACAAACTTGTTAAAAAGGAAAAGGGGAGAAAACAACCAAGAGAGGCTAACCACTGAGATTTGTTTCCTGTTAGCAGCGCCCTCAATATTCTGAATGTTATGACATTTCCTAAGATCAGCGGGGTGTTTAAATTTCCTCCTGTTTGAGGAAATAACTGAGTAATTTTCCAGTCTACTTCCCTAATAGTAGATACCCTTTAAAAAAATTATATATTATTGATAGTAGTATTAACACAAACACATATAAAGAAACCTAATCACATACAGATGAAAAGATTCATGGCTTTGGTTATTAATATAAGGGCTATTATTATTTAAGAACGTGAATTTTTGTACCATAAGTTAAAATATATCAAAATGTTATAATTTAGTAAGCTTTTTGGCTACAGCTTGGCACCACGTATCTGGCACATTTTATAATCCTTTCCTCTCACAGGAGAAGCCATTCGGTTGCATCCAGGTCACTGCCAAATGTTAACACTTGCCTGTATTTGTGAACAAGCAACCAGGATCTAGGACTACCTAGTTAAACAAAAAAGCAGAAAACCCCTGTGCTTCAGCTGTCTCATAGTGTCACTATCCTCTGCTGGCAGGAAGTAGAACAAGGGGCTGTTATACACTGCTGGTGGGAGCATGAATTGGTGCAATTCAGCCAGGACAGTATATATCTGTATACCCTCTGATCCAGCAGTCCCACTCCCAGGTCTAGAGAAACTCTTGCACATGTACAGGACACATGTTCAAGAGTGTTCACAGCTATACTATATATAATAGTGATGACTGGAAACACCCACAGGTTCATGAGAAGTAAAATGGGCACATAAACAAATACATCCAAACCATTGAAAAATGCAGTGAAAATGATTCAACTTGGTTGTCTTGAAACATGCTGAGTGAATGAAGCAAATCACAGGGAAAAAAAAAATCAGAGTTTGATTTTGTTTTATAGAATTTGTACTGATAATCGGGGGAAAGAAAACAAAAGTAAAACTATCCTATCCCAACTGGGTACACTCCTGAATTATTTATAGGAGACGGCTCAGAGTGTGGTAAACGTTTAGTCTTGGCTTCATGCCCTTATCTGTGAGCCCTTTCTCATTATAAGGTGAGGTGGCTGCTGCTCAGTAACTCCCAGCTCTTTGTAAAATGACACGGTCATATCTTAGTAAGTACACTAATCTTTTTTTTTTTTTTTAACCATTGTCCCCTGCCCAGGCCATTTTCTTCATGATTTGGAGTGTTAAGTGGAATGTTTGCTGGATGATACAGATAAGGTTAAGGGGGTAGGACAGGAATGAGAGTCATGTAGAGGAAGAGTCATAAATGTACTATTCCCACCTACAGACTCTTGAAATTTAGTTGTCAGTCTCACTACGGAGTTTTTAATTTAGGTCATTAAGGCGTGAAGAAATACTCAGTTTCCACACTGATTATTACCAACAATACTCTCCTTTAGTCCGAAGCTCCTGGTGGAAACTGTTTTCTAGTCTCAGGGAACCTGGCAATCCCTTCTGTGTAATCAAGGCTGTTGGACTGACATATCCAAGAACTCTAAGGATAATCTTGACATAACTAATTCGAGTACAGGCCTGACCCTTTGGTTATATTGTTTTAAACCTTCACACCACTACTGCAGTCAGTATTCCTTGGAAAACCACCTGGGTATCGTAGGTGGTGATCAAGCAGATGGTGTGTAGCAGAGTATTTGTATGGCTTATTATGGTTTGTACAATCTATTAGTCATCAGTATGGCATTTATTCCATGAATGCTGTGGTCTGGGATCCTGTGAATTTGAGACTCCTGCAAAATCACTCAGAGGTTGTAATGAACACCATGATTCTCCTAATCCCTGAGTCCTAGAAGGTGCTGAATGCTCCTCAGGGAGGGTCACCATCTTAAGACTCATCTTGGGCCGAATGGGTCCCTCAGGCAGGTGAGTTTTTGCTTGTGTCTCTGGCATTTTCCTCACCAGTGTAAAATGAAAAATATGCTACTGTGAAATTTTTGCTTTTCATTTTATAGATATGGAGAGTTTTTTTGGGGGGAGGGGGATCTGAACCCTTGACCTTGGTGTTATAACACTGTGCTCTAACCCACTGAGCTAACTGGCCAGCCTAGATATGGAGAGGCATTAAGGAAACATACACTTAATAATTTGGGCAAGTTACATGGCTCAAAGATGAACGAAAAGTTTTGTTTTTTGTTTTACCAGTAGCAGAATTCCCCTTGGTAGTCTTTAACTTGTGTGTCCTGAGCACAGCTTGGCCTTTTGGGGTACTTCCAGATATGGTCACATGTGGAGACTTTCTGGCGGGAGTCTTGGTCAGTGAACGCTTATGCTCATTATCTTTAGTAGCAGCTGAAAACCTGAATAGGACAGTGGAGTACAAGACATTGAGTACTTGTGGCAAGAGTAACTTGTGTCAAGCTTGTAAATGAAACCACTTAACCAACACTAAGCAGTGAGGGGGCCTCAATAAGTACTTGTTATATGAATAAACCTCTTTTGCAGAACAGACATAGTCTTAAAAGGCTGATGCTAATGCAAATCATTTACCACTTTCCAGTATTTGTAAAATACATTTCTCTATCTTCTGCTCTCCCTGCCTTTTCCAATAACAGTATAAAGCAGAGCTTGAAGGATATGCCTACATGCCTCAGGTTATAGTTCAGGATGCAATCTGAGAAGCTCCCCTTCCTTCTTTTCCTCCTCCTGAGGAGGGCAAGTCAGGGGGAACAGGAGACTGTTGTGCCACATAAATGATAACAGATCTAGAACAATGTCATACATTTGAGTAGTACATAAATAAGCCTAGTCTCTGCTCAGCCATAAATGGAGTTCATTGATTCTCTGATGTGTATTTTTTTCTACATTTCCCCCCCCTTTTTTTGTGACCGGTAACGGGATCGCAACCCTCAGTGTTGCGCCCGTACCGCAACCAGCAACGGGATCGCAACCCTCGGTGTCACGCCCGCACCGCGCTCAACCAGTGAGCGGACCGGTCTCTATATGGGATCCGAACCCTTGGCGGGAGTGCCGCCGCACTCCCAAGCGCCGCACTCTACCTAGTGCGCCACCGGGCCAGCCCTTTTTCTACATTTTTTTTTCCTTTTTGTCTTTTTTACTGACCGATAACGGGATCGCAACCCTCGGTGTCGCGCCTGTACCGGGAACCAGCAACGGAATCGCAACCCTCGGTGTTGCGCCCACACCGCGCTCGGCCAGTGAGCGGGAACCAGTCTCCATATGGGATCCGAACCCTCAGCGGGAGCGCCGCCGCGCTCCCAAGCGGCGCACTCTCCAGTGTGCCACCGGGCCGGCCTTTTTCTACATTTTAACATCTCTGAAATTTGGATGTGTTTTATAGTTGGTAACACATCAGTAGTTAATTGGCAGTAATTTTTCCTAGTGGTTCATAAAATAATGGTGAGTCTTCAATCAACACTGTCTTAGAGTCAATGAAAATCCTGAACTGAAATATAGATATACACAGGGCTGGTGGTGGTAGTAGGGTTAATGGAAGGAAACTTCTGGGCTTATAACTAAAGATTCGATGGTGATCCTGAATCAACACCTTCAAATTATTACCAAAGACTCTACAATAGAGTTTAGAAAATTAGATGTGTTAAGATTGGTGCTGTGAGTCCATACTGCTCTGTACATAGCAGTGAAGGAAGGGTTAGCCTCTTGACCACAGTGTTCTTAAAAAGTATTTAATGAAATCAGAACCATTAATTATAGGTACCTCGTACTCCAAGCCAACTCAATAAATAGAATTACAAATTTAAGGCCATTCTTAACTTTTAAAAACTATGTTAGATAATTGTACATGTTGGGCAAGAGTTACCATGCACCAGCTCTGTTACACACTGCAAATGTCCTTAAAGAAAATAAAATATTGGTATTAAAAGGAGCCTGAAGATCTTTGTCTGTAAGGACAGTCACAATTGAAGGTGACGTTGATGTCAGGAAAGGCACAAGCAAAGAAAAACGGATGAATTGGGGCATGAAATAGTTATGATATTGCAGTGCCCAATGGGTTACAATATTAGTACTTTTAGGAAGAGTCAGTTTTTCAGTTCACTGCACTGAGAGACCACCTGTAGGAATTTAGCTTCACTTTAATATTTGTCAATAGAAAAATTTCTCTTTAGACATCCTTATAGTCATACATTAATAAAATGAGGAATATTCACATATATCTTACTTTCTGTCTTTACTGATTAATCAAGTGTGTGCTTAGGGAAGTTGAGTAAAACAAAAAAACCCCACAAATTTATAGAAAAAAAGATTAGAACAGGTTGTATCTGTTCACTGATCTTTCTATTCCTGATCCTTTCTCCTCCTGTTTTTTTTTTTTTAAACCCACATTAAAACACATTTGAATAGTCTACTTCAAATCTTGCCCCTGATAACATTTTGGAGTGACTTTTTTTTTTTTTTTTTTACCTGACACTTATTTTAGTTGCAGAGAGAGCAGAGCGCTTGACTGACCCCTTGAGACTCAGGGTGCTCTGCCTTGCAGGGCTGCGAGACCTGCCTTGTGAGCGCTGCTGGCTGATGGGAGTATAAGCCACGGAAAGTCTTCCTCTTAGAGGAACTGGAGTCACTACTCCTCCCTTATCGACAGCATGCTTCTGAAGAAGAGAAAATGCACCATTTTTAAAGCTTGGTCTCTTATACAGTGTTGCCTCCTTGGCAAAGTGCAGAGGAACTCTCCCATCCATCCCCTTGTTTAACCCCACATGTAACTCCACCTAGCATCCCTTCCTTCCCCACTTCTTCATCCTATTGTACCCATGTGGCTAGTTGCACAGTTACCTGCCACTGTGTTGCTATGGTGATTCTGATGTAAAAAGCAACTTCTGGTTGTGCTGACTACTAGGCTACAAGAAAAGCTTTCCCAGCTGCCATGTACCCAGGCATCTTCTAACTAGAGAAAGAATGTAGCAAAATAGTCCCTTGTAGCCAGAATGGGAGAATAAATAGATTCTCTTGGAAATGTGGTACCTCTGAGAGCATGATATACAGTTTATTAAACATAAAGAAGAACCTATTGTATATTTAGATGTGGGATCTACAAATAATTCCACCCTCTCCCCCCAAACAATGGCATTTTATAGTTCTTAAAAACATCAACAAAAAAAGAAAGATGGGAGGGAAGGAGAGAAAGAAATGTTCACTTTGAAATTGCTGTGAAGGGATCCCCTTAGGTTATCTTTTTTGGATATTGTCAAGGCACTAAGAGTATTTGAATGTTTTACTATCATTAGTCTGAGATCTGTTGCAAGCAGGAAAAATGTAATTTCATTACCTGACAGAGATAGGATAGTTGAGATTGACATACACAAAAATAAAAACGTGGGTTGAGGAGTAAATATAGGGAAGAATAATAAAGCAGTAGAAATAAACATAGGAGTATGTTTTTATGAATTTGGGACAGGCAAGGCCTTTCTAAGCATGACAAAAAACTCAGAACCTTAAAAGGAAAAGTTGAGTAAACTTAACTAAGGCCAAATCAAAACAAAATCTTCCATAAGGTAGGACACCATTAATATAGTTAAAAGATAAACTATGGAAAAGTATTTATAACATATAATGTATACCATTAATATCAATAAGAATGGGGCCGGCCCCGTGGCTCATTCGGGAGAGTGCGGCGCTGGTAGTGCCACGGCCGCGGGTTTGGATGGCCGGTGCGCTCACTGACTGAGCGTGGTGTGGACGACACCATGCCAAGGGTTGCGGTCCCCTTACCGGTTAGAAAAAATATATATACATATATCGATAAGAATGGGCAAAAGTTAAGAAAAAGCAAATCTGTAGAAAAATAGCAAATTAAAGATTTAGAACTATATAAACATGTAACATACGATGATCAAAGGAATAAGATTTCGATTGGGATTTTTTTCATATTCTCAAAGATTTAAAAATTTGATAATTCTCACTGTTGGCAAAGTAAAGAGGCACCTTGGGTACAAATTTTCTGATCTTTTTAGAGGGCCTCTTGACAACTAGATCAAACAAGTCTCTCTTCTTTCAGCGTGAAAGTAAAAGAGAGGTTGTCCTGGCCAGGATCATTATAGGAATTCTGCTCACCCAAATAATCCTGAAATGTCAACTGTCAAGAGCAACTTCATAACCGCTATGATGAAGTCAGCATAATTGTTTTCAATTATCAGTTCTCCAGATCTACAAATAATACATCTGATAGGCCAATTCCTTAAACAATGGGGGTGGAGGGTAGAATTTTAGAATTAAACTCATTCAGATGGAGCTATCAGTCTGGAGTTAACACTAAAAAATAGAATAAGGTTTTTATTCATTCAACACATCTTAAAGGGCAACTCTCAAAGTGTATGGTTGAGGCAGTTGTTCTGCCCCCTTTTTTTTTTTTCCTTTTTGTCTTTTTTCGTGTCCGGCAATGGATCGCAACCCTCAGTGTCGCGCCCATACCGGACCGGGACCGGCAACGGGACCGCAACCCTCGGCGCTGCGCCCGCACCTCGCTCAGCCAGTGAGCGGAAACCGGTCTGCACGTGGGATCCGAACCCTTGGCGGGAGCGCCGCCGCACTCCCAAGCGGCGCACTGTAGCAGTGCGCCACCGGGCCGGCCCCTGCCCTTAACTTTTACCTGGAAAATTAACTCATCCATATTACATAGTATAGAAAGCTTGACATTCCATCAAGTACTTAAATAGACTGCGCTTCATGGTATACTTTATGTAAAGCCTCATCATGAGCCTCTAGTCCCAGTATTCAACAGTGAATGTAGTGATACCTAGCCCTTGCTAATATTTAAGAAAGCCTAATTGTGGGCATACAAAATATCTCTTCTCTGGATTCTCTACGCAAGTTGTTAGATCAGTATGAAGGAATGGAGAAGTTTAATGCCATGACTTGGCCTTGTTGCTGCTTGATAAAAGACTGATAAACAGTGTCTTCAGCTGTGGTAACAGTGGTTTTATAAATACTGTTGAAATGAATGTTTATTATTTTAATTAAGCTTCTCAACAAAGAGCTTCTGTACTTGAAAAACTTATTTAGAATTATCACCCAATGTGTTAGGTCCTCTTGGCCTTAGTTGCCAGAGAACGCAAAACATCTGAGTGACTGATAGTAACAGACACTGTATCTACTAACAGTACTCATTTTCTGCCCCTTTTTTTTAATTTTTATTTTTTTGGTGGCTGGCTGGTACGGGAATCCGAACCTGTGATCTTGGGGTTATAACACCACACTCTAACCAACTGAGCTAACTGGCCAGCCCTCTGCCTCTTTTAAATTGACTTTATACTTTTGTATGTTACGTTTAATACCACAAACTGCCTTACACTGTTTTTGAGAAACAGGAAGGTTGTTATATATTGTTAAAATAAATATTTGTGGGCCAAGCCCGTGGCGCACTCGGGAAAGTGTGGCGCTGGGAGCGCAGCGATGCTCCCGCCACGGGTTTGGATCCTATATGGGAATGGCTGGTGCGCTCACTGGCTGAGTGCGGTGTGGGCGACACCACACCAAGGGTTGCGATCCCCTTACCAGACACGAAAAAAGACAAAAAATAAAATAAATATTTGTCAGCCCTCTATTTGGCACGCCCATAACACCAGATACCAATAACATCATCTTCCTCGGATGTTATCAACTCACTAAGGTTATTTCACTACTTTGTTACTTCAAGAGGCTTTGAGACCAGCAGGACCTGGACTGAAGGCCCCTGAGGGAGCCGTTAACATTGGACCCCTTTAGTTTAGCTACTGTTAATCACCCCACTTTCCCTTAGGTGAGAGACAAGGGAAAGAAGATGGCTTCAGCCATAACTTAGTCTATCCTCAATGAAAGTGATAGGCAAAATGTCTGAATATGAAAAAAAGAGAACAATTTATTGCCACTTTGGAATTAGTTCCTCAAAATGAGGATTCATTGTTTTACCGGTAGGGTTTTGAAAATTCTCGGGGTGGGGGATAGCAATTTTAAGATAAAAAATACTTTAAACCCGAACAAATCCATTTCACTGGGAGAGTAATAGAAAGCTGTCTGTATTAACCTTAATGTTGCATGGTTGCAACGTTATTTTTTTTCTCACCTCTCCTTCCTGTGTCTCTTCAGGCTTCAAACAACATCCCTGAATCTTTCAAACAGGGACAATGTCATTGCTAATGTCCCTTCTCTACCAGATGCCAGGGTCCTCTCATGCCTCATCTCCCTGCAGTCCCCCAAGCGCTATCTGTGGCCTCAGAAAACCAGTTCTCCTGGAATTGCCCCCCTGAATACTTGGAAACTCACTAGGCACAAGACAGCAACCCATCCTACTAGCCATTTCCTAATCCTGCCCTGCGGGGTCATCCACTCCACAGGGTTTCTGTTGTATCCTGTGCACACCTCTGTTAAAGCACTTTCAACACTGTATCTTAATTATTCATTCACTTCTCACTCCTTCACGCTGTGAGCTTCTTGGGTCCAGAACTCTGCTGTTCTTCCTTTTCCTGGCACGTAGCATAGCGCTGGCAGGAATTAAATGGTCAGTGTGAATTTGACAGCATACAGCCTGTTAATACTATTCTCCAAAATTCCAAGAGTTCAACAACTATAATTGCCTTTTCCATGTTTCCTCCATGGAAAAGTTTCCACCCCACCTTCTCTTCCTTCTTGAAATTCTGCTTTGTGATGACACCAAGGTCAAGGGTTTGGATCGAGAGAGAGAGAAAGGGACAGAGAGAGAGGAGAGAAAGAAATCCGGCTTTGACTTCTCTAGACTCTATACTTATCTCCACAAACCGTTAGTTTCAACATTAAAATCAAGTAGTTTAGTCCCATGAAGAATATAATTTTATCTGCATACCTTCAGTTCATTAAACAAATTGTGTTCTTCAAAATGTTTCTTTTTTCTTTCAATATATTGATCAATGGACTCCATCTCCTTAAAACGAGCCTCATGAAACTTCTTAAAGTCTAGAAAGTTCCCCAAAATATAAAGATTAACAAGACAAAATCCATTTATTCACCTTCCCTGTGTTTTTCTGTTAACACTTTTTCTCTTCCTTGCATCCCTGATCTTCAAATTTGATATCATTTTTATTCAAACTTTAATTTCAAAACACTTAGTTTTTGGAAACTCAGGGGGGCAAAGCATATTCATCTTATAAAACTATCAAACATTCACCGTCTCCTTGTTGTCCATTTCGCTGATATATTGGCTTAGTCCAGATTTGTCTTCTCCCCCGACTAATTAGACAAATGGCTTTTATTTAATCATCATAAATTTGATAGAATGGTTAGAAAGTTTTTTGCCAAGGTGTAGTGGATTGAATTATGTCCCCCCCCCCCCAAATTCACTGAAGCTTGAATTGTGTCTCCTAAATTTTATGTATCAAAAACTTGGCTCTCACTGTGCTTGTTAAGAGGGTGGGAAATCCTATTATGGTAATTGAAAGGTGGAGCCTTGAAGATGTGATTGGATTGTAAGGCCATGCCATAGTGAATGGATTAAAAATGGTGGTCAGGATGTGGTTCTGAGGGCTTTAAAAGAAGAGGAGAATCTGTCTCTCTCTCTCTGCTCTCTCTGCTTCCACCATCTTGCAATGTGAGACCCCTGGGTCACTGTCACCATCACCAGATGGAGTTTGGACTTCCCAGCTTCAGAAACAGTAAACAATAAATTTCATTTTCTTTATAAATCACCCAGATCCAGGTATTTTGTTATAAGCAATAGAAATGGATTAAAACACAAGAACTGACAACATTTTTTTTTTTTTTTTTTTTTTTTTTTTTTTTTTTTTTT